CCCCCCCCTTCTGGGCGAAAGAGCAAGTGCCGGGCGACCGATGTTGTTTGTTGTTTCGACACAACCTTTGGCTCTACACCGCGAGCCATGCACCCATCAAAACCGAAATCAAATCGCCCGTCAGAAACTTATGACCCACGAATTTGCACATCTCAATAACAACTACTCACGTTCGTGACACCGCATCTCATCACTCACCGCAAAAAGGGCCTCTCCGGAGACGACAAAGATGGCGGCCAGGACGGCGAGCTTGGTGAGGACCTCCATGTCGATGGCCGGGACGCGCCGGTCGCCTTTCGAGTGCGTGTAAGCAGTGACTGTCGCAGCGTTCGGCTCCTGTCGCGGCTCGGCGAGACAACCGGGGTGGCTAGGCGTGCGCGGGCGTTAAGTACGCGGGCGCGTGTGTCGGAGCCCATGGGTGCGGCGTGGCGTGGCGCGGTGTGGCGCAGTGTCGCACGGCGTGGCTTGCCGCGACTACCGTGCGTTTGTTCCGAGAACAAGCGGGCCTCGTCACAGCCTCTTTATCTCTCATAGTCATTCACTCGCTGATTTAGAAAACTTGCATCTTGCATACAACGGGTTTTCGTTTTCAGTTTACTAAAAAAATAACACTTGTACGACCTTTAAACATAATTTTTGGACAGTCCCCGAGAGTGTCTGTGCCAGAAGGCGAAAATGTCCTCCTCCCCCAGCTTTCTCCTTTACTTTTACGCAATAAACGCAACATTTTGGACCATTTTGGACCATTTTTGGGCAACTTTTTCACTTTCCCTTTTTTTTTTACTCCAAGAGGGGGCGCGCTAGAGACAGTATCTGTTATTGCAAGCCGAAGAGCATGAAATCATTTTCATACCTTGAAATGGTCCTCAGGCGCTTGGGTGTCCGCGGAGCCGTCCGGGTCGAAAGTAGAGAGAAAACCCCTAAAATTCGCGTTTTTCGAGAATAGAGGCTAAAAATGTCCTGATAGAATCAAACGGACCTCGGAAATCGATTCCTTGCGTCACAGTACGGACCGCCTGGTTGCGTTCTTTCTTGAAGCAGTTTTAAGCGGCGCTGGAATTTGCTTTTTCAATGAGCAAATAAAAAACGTAAAACGAAACTTTGAGAGCTTTGCTCAGCTTTGCGCGGCTTTTGCGCGACCACTAAGTCGGTAGCGATCAGGCTCATATTTTTTTTTCAAAACTCATTAGGTCCACTACCACAACCAGAAACCAAATGAATATTTTGAGAAATCAAAAAAAAATATTTTTGGCACCCTAGCGGCACGCGTGTGGCAGAGATTTTCCTTCATCCCCGCCCCCGCCCAATATTCTAATTGAATTATTCTAGTATAGTGCACGTGCTAGGTAGTTAGGTTTACTTTATTTCTCATTGCTGGTGTACAGAACATTGGTCATTAGTCTACCTCCCCTACGCTTCAGGTGTGGGTGGAGCGGCAGTGGAGGCAGTATCCGTCGCGTCCACCGTCGGTTGTGGCGTTGTGGCCGGGTCCGTGGATGGGGTCGTGGATTCCCTTTTATTCGTTTCTCCTTGTTGTGCTGTTGTTGTACCTGCGGTATTTGCCGCTTCCCCTGGGGCTGGAGATGCGACGTCGTTGCCCGTGCCCCCTAGCCAAGTCGGGCAGCACAACTTGCACGTCTCGCTGAACTTGTCCGGCTGCACGTTCCGGCAGTTGCTGTAGCAGGCCACGTCGTCCAGCAGTATTTCGGCCTTGGTGACGCCCCTCTTGCCCCTCAAGCAGGGCGCCTGAAAACGTAAACATGAAACAGAGAAACAGTACACACAAGTTCCCCCGACGCGCGCCTGGCAAGGTAGGCGATGTAGGTACGCGTGCGTCAACGGGATGCCCTATTAAACGGACACGGCTCTTATGGCCCCGTGCGAGTAGGCGACCTCCCGCACGCGTGCATGCGGTACAGTATAAATACGAAAGTGCGCGGCGTGAATCAGCCACCTGGTATATTTCATCGCATGCAGGCGTGCGGCGTGCGAGTGGGTCTGCCTGGTCTGCCTATCGTCGCTGACCACTGCGCTTCACGGCTCCCATCGGGTAGGGTAGCGGCCCCGCCCACCCGCACCGCTGCACTTCTAAAGTGCCCGTGGTTAGTCCGCCACTTATTGGTGAGGTATAAACTTGTATTTCCTGGCTGCTGCACTGCTGCGCATTACCGCGCGGCGACCCCATCCCTGGACGCCACATTGAGGAGCAGCCGAGGGGGAACCCTTCAGCCCACGGGAGGTGCACGGCGGCGGCCCGGTGCGCTTACCTGGATGGCCGCGCAGACGCACAGGCCGGCCAGCAGCGCGGCGGCTATCCCCACGCGCGAGGCCATTCTCCGGACACACGCCAGGGACGCCGCCGGACCCGCGGCTTTTATATCAGCTGCCACCGCCGCCGACCCCCGCCACCCGCACCCTCCCACCTTCCCCCCGGCATGGCACCCGTGCCGAATTTCACCGATAGCGCAACAGCGGCCTGCAAGGCGGAAGCGGGTTCGATTCTGGGTTTAGTGCGTAATCACTAATGCGCTAACAAAAACTCGGGTACAGAAGAAATGATGGAGTAATGCCGCGCTTTATTTTGGTCATCCGTTGAGTTAAGGAAAGGGTTTGCAGCACCCGCGTCTCATCCCGCAGCCGCTGGCGTAGTGGAGGTGGGCCTGGTGGTGGTCGTCGGGACCGTCGTCGTCGAGGTGCTGTTCCCGGAGCTGACGCCGGTGGCCGTCGGGCTACTTGGTGATCCCGGAGCGGGACCGCTCGCAGGGCTCCCGCCTGTAGCACTCCCGCTGGCAGTCCCCGTCTCCTTCTCGTTGGCTCCGACGGCGAAACTCGCCCCGCCGGCGAAGCTCCCGCCGGCACTCCCGGTCCCGGTGGCGCTGCCGGTGGCACCCCAGCCGCTCGGCTTCACGCCCAACACCTGGTTGATGACACCCGGCAGCTGGTTGATTGGAACCAGCGGCAGGGACGCGCCGGGGGTGGCCGCGATCTGCAACGCGAGCTGTACTGCTTTACGTACCCCATCGTTACATTTTTTTAAAATTCTTTTAAACTTGTTATCCTTCACTGAAGGTAAATGTTTGAAGGAAAATAAACAACTGAAACTTTAAAAACACAAGTTTTTAACTTTTAAAATTTACATGCTTTTGTTCAAAACATGTAATTTAATTTGTGGTGCTGACGGATATCTACTCACCCCAGCGCCGGCGACCACCTGCGTGGGCGGCTTGGGCCAGCCCAGGGCTGCAAGCAGGCTGGCCAAGGGTGACGTTAGGCCAGACAGGCCCGACCCCCAAGGAGACAGCCCCGGGGACCCCCACAGCGCGCCGGAGACCCCCGGGGTCGCCGCGCCCCGACAACACCGCTGGCAGGTGGCGCTGGGCGCGAGGGGCGCCTTGCACAGCAGGCTGCACGCGTCCGCGTCCGTCACCAGGAAGCGGGCGCCCGTCAACGGCGAGGGTCTCCACGACGAGAGGCTTTCGGGCGGCGCGCTCCTCGAGCGCTGGAACCTCCACAGACACGGCGCCTGCGAAAAACAAAGACGACGTGTGAAAGAAGGGACAGCGTTGCGAGTGAGGGATATCCCATATGGGTTAGAGTACACGTCACAGAGTCGATAAAAAGAAGATTCTTGGTGTCGCCTATATCAGTGAGACCCAACAAGTTTACCAGGAAGATGGCGTCCATAAGCGGGAGCGCGGCCGCGACGCAGACCAGGCCGACCAGCAGCGCCATGAGTCCCGGGTGCCCGGCCGCGGGGGTGCTCAGGAGCCGACCACGACGCGAGCAGCCAGGGTGGCGAGTGCGGCCCATAGGGCAGCCCATGAGCCCATGGGCGTGTAGGGGCGTGGGCGGGGCGGCGGCTCCAGACTGGCCCGCGGCCGGGCGCGGCGGCCTTTTGTGGAGCAGGGGCAGGAACTGCGGCGCCTTATGGAAGTGTCGCAACGCGAACACTAACCCTTATCGAAGCCGCCGAGTGCCGCCCTCGCCGCGCCCCGCGCCGACCCGCTCCCCTTGACACACAAGTAGGACCTGGCCAGGGGCGGTGGCCTGGCACCCCCCCCCCCTCCCCCGCGACCGCGGTGCGCGACAAGGTACAAGACCCCAGCGTGCACGTGTCATTTTTTTGTGTGTGTCCAACCACGTGGTGCCAGGTGGCGCGCAGGGCCCACCGCGGGTCCTGAGCCGCAGCCGCGAGCACGTTCCTGTACGGGAATACCGAACGGCGGCCGCGCCGCGCCCGGCCGACACTTGCTTCCACTCCCTTCCGGTGGCGAGCAGGACACATGCCAGAGAGAGAAACACGCACGCACACATGCACACACACACAACGAGTAAGTCATTAGCTCATCATTCACACGGCATTCACCGCCACGACCCTTAAGTATAGTAACTGCCGTCAAACAGAGGTGAGAGTTTTATTAAAGTTTTCAAGACCCTCAATTTTAAAGCAAGTGTTTCAAAAGTGTAAATCAGCAGCCCGTCGGTCATTTAAAATGTCACCTTTCAGGTAAAGCAATAACTACCACCCCCGGCCTATAAACAGCCGACTGCCCTTTCATCGACACCGACACCCTGTAACTTCTGTTATTTTCCTCCCCCGGCGCTGGCGCTTTGGTGTGGGTGTTTCGGCATCCCTTGACGTGGTGTGATACCCGATACGATACGACCCCCACACCTTGCGTTGCGTCCAGCCGCGTCCAGCTCGTGACGTGGGCGGTAGAGGTGGAGG